GTGCTGAATCACAGAGATTCCCCAAAGCTAGACAAAAGGGAAGAACAAATAAGGAGGAGCTGTTTGCAGAAGGACTGGCCCTGACAGGGACTCCCTTCTCATGGCACAAATATGCTGATTATGTGTCTCCAACCAGACCGAGGGAAAGATGTTTAGAACATTTCCTTAGACAATGGTCCAATTGAGAGGTCACTTCCTGCCACTTTCCATCCCCTGAGGGGGAATCCCATACTGGCTCCCAGTACACAGTGATGGCTATGTTGAAAGCCAGGGTTCCGAACAAATGCCTGTTTGCCAGAGTCATAGGCTTCTACTTTGAGGGTAAGGGATGAATTACAGATGAGTATTCTTGCTAAAACGTCCACTCAAATATAATGCAATCTGTACAGTTTTTCAATTCACAGCGTTGCAAAGTAGCTGTCAGTGTTTTCCTATGCTTCGTTTACTCTATGATTTTTTCATATCATCTGAAAAACAGAAATTCATTGCTCCCAAATGAGCAACATTTTGAACTCAACCCTGACCCTCACATGATAAAAATCTGTGCCATCGAAAAGAAACATAAAGTGTTTTGTTGTTTTGTTCTGTCTCTTCCCCTGAAAGCCATCCAAGGGCAGAATCCTGTTGCCTGCATTCACAATGAAGATGACATGGAAAGAACATGGTATTTTAGACAGAGCTTTCAAAAAAAATCCATATAAGGGCAAAAAGAAACATTTGATGCTGAATTCTTTCCTAATTTAAGACACTGAGTCCAGTTATAATTTTTTATTTTTTTAAATAAAGGAATAAGAAGAATTTTAAGGCAAAATCTCCTGGGATTTCTTGTGTGAGCTGAAAGAAGTGATGAGCAAACATTGTCCAAATCACTGAAGAAATTCCACACAACCTAAATGTCCTCTTTGTGTGCATAGTCAGCACCAGACTGCACGAAAGATCTTGTCCTCTCCCTCACTCTCGTCTTCATCACTTGTGTCTCAACACAACTCCATACTCTAAAATTTAAACATGTTTGTATGTTGTTTTGCAACTGCTCCCAAGTTATTTCATAAGAACATTGCATAATGTGATGTTTATCATAGCAGATGATCCACACTGGAATCACCTGAGGTTTCATTAAAATGCAGATTTTTGGCCAGGTGCAATGGCTCATGCCTGAGATCCCCACACTTTAGTAGGCCAAGGCAGGACGATTGCCAGAGCCCAGGAGTTCAAGACCTGCCTGGGCAACATAACAAAACTTTGTCTCCACACACACACACACACACACACACACACACACACACACACAAAATGTCTTTAAAAATCAGTTGGGTGCAGTGGCAGGCACCCCTTTAGTTACAGCAACTGAGGAGGCTCAGGTGGGAGGATCTCTTGAGTCCAGGAGTTTTAGGTTGTGATGAGCCATAATCATGCCACTGTACTCCAGCTTGGGCAACAGAGAAAGACCTCAACTCAATTTTTAAAAAATCCACCCAATGTAGAATATCTATTTAAGGGGTCTGGGTATCTGCACTGTAAGAAGACAATCCTGGGGTTTGCAACCACTTCGTAAAGAATGCTGAACTTTGAACTCTCATCTTAGTTCCACCATTAAACATTCACTGTGGACTTCCAGTCAGTCATTTAAGTTCTGTGCCTCAGTTTTTTCAACTGTTACATATGGTTATTGTGAGATAATATATGGAGAAGTACTCATACATATAAGAAAATTGTGTATGCACCTGTGAATTCCTTAGTGAGATGATAAACTGTGAGACCCAGGAATCTCTTTATTTTCCCATTGGCAATGTCATATTTGTAGCTAGATTTCTGTAAATAGCTGATTAATATACTATATAGCATATTACAAGTATTAGAAGCATTTGCACACTGATACCTTGAGAAATTCAATTAACCCCCAGGAGTCCAGACCACTATAGGATTTACCTTGGCACCTTTAACACTAAAGAGGGTCTTCTGTGGGACTTGCAGTTTAATTAACTATCAGAGATTTCTAACAAAGCTCGTAAGGTGAACATGTAAGGCCTCTTTGCTAATTTATATAACTGCCAACAGAAAAATAACTCACGAAGCCTGATAAGTCAAGTTGACCTACCCAACAGAAGATTAGAGTAAGACGTTTAGTTTTTAATTCTAAAAAGTTGTATTGAGGACTGTCTTAATCAGTTTGGACTGCTATAACAAAAATATCACAGACTGAGTGACTTAAATAACAAAAATTTATTTCTCAGTTCTGGAGGCTGGAAAGTTTGAGATCAGCATGCCAGCTGATTCAGTTCCTGGTGAGGGCCCTCATTGTGATTTTCCTTGCTGTATCCTCACATAGCAGAGAGTGCCTCTTCTTATAAGGGCACTAATCCCATTATAGGGCCCCACCCTCATAACCTCACAGAATTTTAAGTACCTCCCAAAGACTTCACCTCCAAATGCCATTACATTGGGGGCATGAATGTAGAGGGGACACAAACAGTCCATAGCAAGGACATTCTTTTAATGCTTTCTCATGTCAAATATTTGAGAACTATATGATATCCCTATTTCACAAACAAATAAACTGAATCATAGGGAAGTTAAGTGGCTCGTGATATGTCTGTCTCCAGGAGATGGAAAGACCTGCCAAATGGCGGAGCTGATTGCATGGGCCTGCAGGGTGCCCAGAGAGTGCTGAGGCTATCAGCTGATAGTCACCACGGTGACTCATTTCTGCTGTTCCAGGGCTGACCAACTCTCTTTTTCTGAATGACATATTTATTTCTTTAAATATGTTGTCTTAATTCTGATTTAGCTCAATTGTATTGGCTCTGAAGACATCTTGTGAAGTCAGTGTTACCTCAAGTTCATTTGATATGGTAAAAGGATGAACTCTTTTTTACATGAATAGTTACACATTTATGATCAGGTTATTAGGAAAATATATATAACCAGTATATCAAATCCTAATTTTAAAAATAGTATTACAAATATGAGGTTAAATAATTTAAAATGATGAATTTATATAAAATTAATTTAGTGAAAAATATTAAATAATTGTTTAGGTATTACACAGATATCAACAACTTGTGGAAAAAGTTTACCAATAACAGAAGCTTGGGCCGGGAGCAATGGCTCACACCTGGAATACCAGCACTTTGGGAGGCAAAGGCGGGCTGATCACTTGAGGTGAGACATTTGAGACCAACCTGGCCAACATTGTGAAACCCCGTCTCTCCTAAACATACAAAAATCATCCGGGCATGATGGCACATGCCTGTAATCTCAGCTACTCAGAGGCTGAGACGGGAGAATCGCTTGAACCCAGGAGTCAAAGGTTGCAGTCAGCCAAGCTTGCACCACTGCACTCCAGCCTGGGTGATCAGAGTGAAACTCTGTCTCAAAAAAGAAAAGAAAAGAAAAGAAGCTTGGGAAAGATGGCTTTAAATTGACTCTGTATATCTTTATTTCACTGTGAGTTGATTTTTTAGTTAACTTTGAGAAAATAGTATGCATTTCTTTATTTTGAAGTTCCTCAGGGAGTGCCTCAAGGTAGCCTCTTTGAGCCAACAACATATATGACCTCAGCTGATTTTAAAATGCTGATTATATGACTCTAAATCACACAAAATATAAAGATAGTAGTAATAGCTCCTTTTATTGACTGTTAACATGAATTTATACACTGTTCTAGTCATTTCATACATACTATTGTTCATTATCAGAAGAACTCCTGTAAGACAGGTATTGTTATACCCAATTTGCAGATGTGAAAGCTGAAACTGTAAAATTGGAAAACTTCCGATAGCCCCATAACTTACTACATGTGAGTGCAAAAAGCCTAAGCAAAGCTGTCATTTCCTTAAGCCCTTGTTCTTTTTCCAATGCAAGTTACCTCTCTATATTAAATTTCCTAAAATATATTGCAAAAGTATTTTTAAATGCCTTACATAGTAAAGTTTTGGTGAGTATACTGTACTTGTTGAAAATCTAGAGGCTGTGGTGTGTGTGTGTGTGTGTGCGTGTGTGTATGTATTTGTACTGAATTGATTCCATTTTTAACTGGGTCATCTTTGGAATGGTCTTGTCAACCAAGAGTCAACACTTATCCCAAGTCAGCATCTATCTGATTTTCTTTCTTGGAAATCTAGGCTGAAGACTACTTGGCTAAAGAGAAGAGAGAACATGTAAATTTGGATGCTGTGAGAAAGTAGATGGAATGAAGGATGAAGAAGCAGAGAGAATACTGAAGCAGGGGTGCACCTAGAAGCAGAGAGGGAAAGAGGGGAAGAGAGAGAGAGAGAGGTCCTATCCAGATTCCTAGATGCAGTCCCTCATGAGGCCCAGTTGTTGCATCTCCTGCCCTGGTGCTCTGTGAGGTATCCTTATAATAAATTCTTATGCTTTAATGAAGCTAATCTGACATAAGTCCCTGTTACAACCAGTGTTAATACAGTTGCAACATTGGAAAGAAATGTCTCCTTAAAAACGCTTTCCAATAAGTAACCATGAACTGTTCAGTTTCTGGTGATCATTTACCGGTAGTGACTATATGACAGATCATTTCAGTTAGTTCCAAAAGTCAAATGCAGTCCACTTGACTGTACTGTAATAAGTACACTTAATACGCAGATAAATGACTAAGACTCTTTGATGAGTTTGATTAAATTGCCTATATTTGCACCACAGAGACATTCAAATGAGAAAATGTTACATACCCCCACCAAAAGAGCAGAGTCACAAAAGATGACCTTTACGTATTAAATAAACCCCAGTTTGTCTCCTGTAGTTCCCTTTGAGTTGCTTTCCCCACTCATCCTGTCTTAACCATTCTTACCAGAAACTCCAGAATGTTTTTTTGCCCAGACAAAACTAGAAGCAGATTTAGCAACAAAAGCATGTATGTTTAAAAATGGCCCCTTACTTAGCATGTGTTAATACGATGGTGCATACCAGAGGAACAAAATAAAATCATCACAAGAAATGACTGCAAAACACAAGCATTCTGGATAATTCAAACCTAAGACTTTTAGCTGGTTCAAACAATTTGGTTTTTATTTCATACATCCCCAAAGTGAGACATTAAAGAAGACTATGCAGAACAATGTTTTGTTTTTCATCCATGTTTTCCCTTGAGTTTAAGAAATAAAAAAAGTAGAAAACCAAAGCATTTCTTTCATTGAATTAATATTTAAAAATGAGTTTTAGCAATTAAAATCAGATTTTCTAAAACAAGAAAAAAACACATCTGGGTAAAATGCTTACATTAAAAGTTTTAGTAGAATGTGGATTAAATTATTGGTTTTTAAACCACCCTGCAAAGATGGTATTGACTCTCTAATGGAAAAATCAGTTGTCCAAAGTAGAACAACATTTTGACACTAGTAAAATTAAAAGCTAAGTTAAAATTTGGAATAAATTATTTTCAAATTTAATAATCCTAGAAAAATCTAGAGTATAATGTCTTCCACTGCAACTGATCTTTTACTAATTGTTTTAGTTCATTACAGAGATTCTTCAGGCTATAGCTATGGAAACCTGCAGTTTGATCCTCCAGTAGACTTGAGGCAGCAAATTCACATGGGCACGTGTATCCATTCTCTTCACCTTGATTCTTTTGACTTGAAAGTTGTTCTTTTCAATGCTTCTGCCCAAGAGAGAAAAAGCAAACCTAGTTATGTGGGAGGTGCCTTTGCTTTGTGAGTTGTCATAAAAGTTGTCAGGTGCTAAAAGATCTGAACGTCGAGAGACTACAGCTGAAGTTATAAATACATGCTTTTAAAGAAAAAATCCTGAGAGTAATACATTAATATTACTATATATCATGCTGTAGATGACTTTACTTCTACAAACTGAATACTTTGCTGAAAAATGATCCAGCAGAAGTTGGTTTTAAAAGAAAGAATTAATGTATATAGCTTAAGTTAAATATTTCTGTTTTGAAATGTGCATTACTATTTGAATTTACCAGACCACTAAGAGTAATTATTAGCCACTAACATTATAATGTATTAGCATATAACAAAGTAATGGGCCAGGCTAACCCTATACTAGAGAATAAGCAACTTCCTAGGCAAAGTCTAAATGTCTCCCTAAATTCCCACTAATGATGCTTTAACTTCTAGTTAATGTCAGTGGAAATCTGTAGCTGTTAAAACACAAATACCTTTGAGTTTTCATACAAACTCTTTCTTCTGCTTACAAGGTCCTTCCCCTTACTCCTTTCAGCGATAGAAGTATTTTTTTTTCTTTTTCTCTCAGTTTAAATGTCATTCCTTTTATGACAGTTTTCCCCCATCAGCTTCTTCCTTTTGCCCAACCTCCACTGCAGTAGAATTAACGAATTCATCATGCACTCCTGTGTTACACACTGTGTTACCATAGCATTGTGTTAAGTAGCACAGCACTTCTGTTGTGTTATAATTAGCTCTGTGTGCATGGGTCTATCATCACAATCCTGGAGACTTTTGAAAGTGGGAACAATGTGTAATTCATTCAACTTTTTATTTATAATAGGTACTCAAAAATGTTCATCAGAAATAAATGAATACAATCCTCTTATTAGAAATATGCTCATGCATTCACTGATTCATACCTCATTCATTCATTCATACTTCATTCACTCATTCATACGTCAACTCAACAAGTAGTTACATAGTATATATGAGATACGTGCTGCATAATGACATTTTAGTCAACAATGAACGGTGTATATCTCATGGTACCAACAATAATCCCATAAGATTATAATACCAAATTTTTACTCTACCTTTTCTAGGTTTAGATATATTTGTGAAAGTGTGCTCTACAATGTTTGCACAATGATGAAATTGTCTAATGATGCATATCTCAGAACGTATCCTCATCATTAAGTGACACATAGTGGTAGCTTGCATCTTAGTGCAAAACAGTTTCTCAGATCCATTCGTCAGAAGTAGAGGGTGGAGAACCGGGCTTGGTGGCTCACGCCTGTAATCCCAGCACTTTGGGAGGCCAAGGCAGGCGGATCACGAGGTCCGGAGATGGAGACAATCCCGGCTAACACGGTGAAACACCGTCTCAACTAAAAACACAAAAAATTAGCTGGGCGTGGTGGCCCGCACCTGTAGTCCCAGCTACTTGGGAGGCTGAGGCAGGAGAATGGCATGAACCTGGGAGACAGAGCTTGCACTGAGCCGAGATCACACCACTGCACTCCAGCCTGGGTGACAGAGTGAGACTCCATCTCAAAAAAAAAAAAAAAAAAAAAAAAAAGAAGAAGAAGAAGAAGTAGAGGGTGGAGACATAGAGGCCACTGGAAATCTTTCATATATATGGCAACATGCAATGGAAAAGAGCAGAGAAAATAGCAAAATATATATATATATATATATCCTGCTTAAACATTTTGCCTACGGCTATCTCTGATGCTCAACATATAGCATGTGCTTGATGAAACTTGTTGAATGATTGATTGATATAGCTGAAGTCCAACCGTTTTCTGTCAAAGCAGGTGATAAAAATATCTGCTAAAAATTTCATCATCTTCAATACAAACTTTCACATAAAGTCAATTTTCATCTTGATAAATAACTAACCTACGCAGGACTGATGTCATTCCTCACTTAAACCTTCCACATTTCTTGCATGCATATCTTTATTTTTAAAATATGTATATATCAATGATTATATCATGTAGTATTTCTTCAAGCTTTATGCCCCTGTCATTATATGCTGATTTTCTTGAAATGAGGAAAACACATTTTCTTAAAACTAAATGCTAGTATATTTGTGCTTCCGTAAAGCAGGAAACTTGATTAGTTAGTTCTTCACTGAGACAGTAATCATTTATGTGAACAATGATCCCCCAGAGGCAGGGCAAGTTTTTGTGCTTCTTCTGAGGTCTTGTCAAATGACAAAATTATATCTGGTACCATGCTATTATCAGACATAAATGACCATATTCATAAATTCTTAAGCTTTCAGAATTGACAGGAACTTTTAGGATTTTCTATTTCAAGTTTCTACCAATGCAAGAATCTCTTTTCCCCCATCCCTCACAGGTTAAATCTGCCTGGATACAACCAGGGACAGAAATCATCTTCCTCACAGGGAGCCAATTCCATTTCGGAAGAAGTCTAATTCTTAGACTGCACTTCTATTTATTGAGCCAAAATCAGATTCCCTGAACTTCAAACATTGATCCTGGCTCTAGCCTCTAGTATTTCAAAGATTTAATCTAATCCCTCTTCAAATACTGAAAGGCAGCCATGGTTCCCTGTAGGTATTTTCCAGCACAGCCTATAAACCTGACTAAATCTGTATCATCCATCCCACATGTGTCTATTAACCACAAGGACATCATGAGCAATCACTTCAAAGGCCTTGCTCGTGTACTAATGCCAGCATTTCTTGAACTACCAATTAAATAAGCAAAGTGAATTGGTCATAATTGCTCATAGGAAATTCATGTTGGCGCTTAGTGATCACTGCCTACTTCTGGGTGCACATAAGCAATGTGTTTAATAATTCATTTGAAACTATGTTCATTTTTGTTTGTGAATCCATCTTTCTCTCTGTATGACTCATGGTTCAACCAGCGGTAAGAGAAATCCACTTTAAGTATTTAAACCATTAGGGGAGACAATACAGGGAACTGATTACACAGAAGAAGAAGGGCTCACTGTATCAGGGAAGTACTGAGGCAAACTAGATATTAGAAATCACCAGAAGCCACTAGGACTTCTTAGGCTGAAGGAGAAAAGGGGAGGAACCGGTGATAACTGGGGCCAGGAGTCAGGATCACCCTGTGAAGCTTGCACTGTGACAGGAGTGGAGAGCAGGAGTCATAGCTACAGAGGAGACACCACTTGAAACATTTTCAGAGATGTCACCTGAGACACAGAGGGACAGGACAAGTAATCTGGCTTTTCTCTTCCACAGCCCTTTACGCTCCAGGGTCTTTCTGACTGGCTGAACTCACTTGAAAGCCAGATGATACAGTAGCCTGGAAATGCACCAGCAAAGGGGCCATGACAAAGCAGGGAGAGGCAGATATTTTGGCCTTTCCACAATTCTCCATGATTAATCAAAGGCTACAGGCCTATTGAATAGTTCAGTACTTTGGAGGATAGCTTACTATATCACTTATTTTATTATGGTTTGTTTTAGAAGTGGCTTGATATGGTTTGGCTGTGTCCCCATCCAAATCTCATCTTGAATTGTAGCTTTCGTAATTCCCATATTTTGTAGGAGGCACCTGGTGGGAGGTAATTGAATCTCAGGAGCAGGTTTTTCCTGTGCTGTTCTCATGAGGGTGAATAAGTCTCACAAGAGCTGATAGTTTTATAAAGGGGAGTTCCCTGCATGCACTCTCTTTGCCTGCTGCCATGTCAGACATGCCTTTGTTATTCCTTCACCATCCACTATAATTGTGAGGCCTTCCCAGCCATGTGGAACTGTGAGTCCATTAAATCTCATTCCTTCATAAATCATCCGGTCTTAGGTATGTCTTTATTAGCAGCATGAGAACAGACTAATACAGTAAATTGATACCAAGTAGCAAGGTACTGCTGTAAACATACCCCAAAATAGTGGAAGTGACTTTGGAACTGGGTAACAGGTAGAGGTTGGAACAGTTTGGAGGGCTCAGAAGAAGACAGGAAAATGTGAGAAAGTTTGGAACTTCCCTACTCAGAAGACAGGAAGATGTGGGAAACTTTGGAACTGCCTAGAGTCTTATTGAATGGCTTTAACCAAAATGCTCATAGTGATATGGACAATAAGGTTCAAGCTTAGGTGGTCTCATATGGAGATGAGGAACTTGTTGGGAACTGGAATAAAGGTGACTCTTGCTATGCAAAGAGACTGGTGGCATTTTGCCCCTGCCCTACAGATCTGTGGAATTTTGAACTTGAAAGAGATGATTTGGGGTAATGAGTGGAAGAAATTTCAAAGCATTCAAGAGGTGACAGAGCATAAAAATTTGGAAAATTTGCAGCCTGATGATGCAGTAGAAAAGAAAAACTCACTTTCTGGGGAGAAATTCAAGGCGGCCACAGAAATTTACATAAGTAATGAGAAGCCAAATACTAATCACCAAGACAATGGGGAAAATGTCTCCAGGAAATGTCAGAGACCTTCACAGCAGTCCTTCCCATCACAGGCCTGGAGGCCTAGGAGGGAAAAATGGTTTCCCTGGCCAGGCCCAGGGCCCCCTTGCGCTACGCAGTCTCCAAACATGGTGCCCTGCATCCCAACTGTTTCAGCTTCAGCTGTGGCTAAAAGGAGCCAAGGTACAGCACAGGCTGTGGCTTCAGAGGGTGCAAGCCCCAAGCCTTTGCAGCTTACACATGGTGTTGGGCATATGAGTGCACATAAGTCAATAATTGAGATTTGTTTGGGAACCTCCACCTAGATTTCAGAGGATGTATAGAAATGCCTGCATGTCCCGGCAGAAGTTTGCTGCAGGGGCAGGGTCCTTACGGAGAACTTCTGCTAGGGCAGTATGGAAGGGAAATGTGGGGTTGGAGCCCACACCTAGAGTCCCCACTGGGGCACTGCCTAGTGGAACTATGAGAAGAAAGCCATCACCCTCCAGAACCCAGAATGGTAGATCCACTGATAGCTTACACCACGCATCTGGAAAAGTCACAGACACTCAATGCC